ATGTATGGACAGTGTCCTCATGTATGGACAGTGTCCTCATGTATGGAAAGTGTTCATACATGAGGACAGTGTCCCCATGTATGGACACTGTCCTCATGTATGGACAGTGTCCTCATGTATGGACTCAGATGTTGGGATGCATCGAAACAAACGTTGTTTCAATATACTTTAGACCTGCCGTAAGAATATGCTTAGGTCCATGCAAACGTTTCAGTCCATGGTATCTAACTGCAAAGTTCTGCAACTCGCCTGAATTCACCACAATATAACTTAATTGGGTTTTCTGAACCCAAGGGGGTTTAGAACAGATGTTAAATAAATAAATAGCTGCTTTAAAGTGTGTGTAATTGTGGAACAATGACAGCTGTGGAGCTGCAGGAGGACATCACCAGTAGAAGAACTGGAGGGCAGCAGGTTTTTGTTGGTCACACAGATCAATACTGATAGGGTATTTGTCCCTGAAAAACTCGTTGATGCGTAACAACTCGTTTCTTCACATTAGCCATTTAAAGAATACACCTCTAAGTTCTACCAAACCCCTGACTGAGGTGTTGACAGTAGTTATGTTATTAAAGCTGTGCGTAGAGTTGGAGATGCCTCAGTCTCAGAAATGTGCCGCCAGCAGATCCGCACCCCCACTTAAACTCCGAGTCGTATTCTGAGCACCAACCCAGCGCACGTGATCTTTCACTATCAAAGGAGACTGCGTCAGATAATTGACACAAATGGCTACATCTCCATCGTTTCTGGAGAAAATATGATTTTAGCATAAAACTGGCATGAAAGGCAAAGGACAATTTTCATTCCTTCAAGGAAGGCTAAAGTTTCTTCTTGGTTCTGCTCAGGACCTTCACTGTTGCCACCACACTGTAAATATTTTCTGGCCTTTTTTCTTTTCTCCATCTTTTAGCTTCACCTTTCCTCAGCGTCTCTCCATCCGTGCAGGGCGTTGCTGTTGTTTTCCTCTTTCACAGCAACTCAGAAAACCCAAGTCAGACCAGGGCAGTACAACAAACCACGAAGCTTAAACCGAGCGGGATTAAAACTGACCGATGATCTTTTCTGGGCCAAACAGAGCAGAACTCTGCATTAAAAGCTTTGTGGCTGCAGTTACTGGATGACCTGCAGCGACGTCAGGACGAGGAACAAACACACGTAATATTCTCTCTGCAGATTAGTTGTGAGAGCCACAACAACAGCAATGTCCCCAAATGTCCGAGCCAGGACACCTAAATACCCACTGACCTGCTTTCTCTAAGCTCATCTGTCCGTCCTGTTCGCTCATCATCCAAACGTAGAAGACAATCAGAGGGTGAATGAAGACATCTCTGATCCTGCCCTCCTGTCTGTGTTTGTGCAGTGAAAGCAAAGCGCCAACGAGCCTCTTGTCTTTCTGTCTCCTCTACTTCTTGTCTCACAGGTAATCACTGCTGTCCTCGTCTGTGTCAGCTGACCTCGTTATACTTTTATTTTATTCATTTGCAGACCTGAACAAGCAGCATTGATCTGGAACATGTATTTAAGTAAAAGGGACTTGTTTAAAAATTGTTTATCTGTAGTGTGTTATCAAAATGTCCTGTAAATATTACTGTCAAGGGAACGTGTATTAGTTGCTCTAATCATTCTCATAAATTCACTGCTTCTGTATGGTTTGTGATGATTAAAATCCATCCATCCATCCATCCATCCATCCATCCATCCATCCATCCATCCATCCATCCATCCATCCATCCATCATCTTCCTCTTGTTCTGGACTCAGGTCTCGGGGGCAGGATCTTGAGCAGGGAGGTCCAGACATCTCTTTCCACACACAT